GGAGGGGAGGGGAGGGGAGAAGAGGGGAGGGAAGGGGAAGATAGGAAAAGGAAGGAAAGGGAAGAAAAGGAAAAGGAAAAGAAAAGGAAAGAAGACCTTGTGGTTAGGAGGAAGGTCACTTAATGACATAAGTCCAGAGAGACACACAAACTAACAATAAAAGACCTAGTGAAGAAATCTAAAAGTTAAAAAATCAAGGACAACATAACATTCACAATCAAGTCTGGATTAGAAGGGGACCAGATACTAGTTAGATACGTAAAATACGTACAGCATTTGAGAGTTAGTTTTATTGACTGTGTGAATAGACATTAGTGAGTAGTTGAACGAATAGAAAGTTCAAAACTGAGAAGTTAAAAATGGGTATTTTTATACTTTAATTTTCCAAGGAAGACAATTTACCTTTTCTGACAGAGCTAGAAGTCACCTGGCTACTAGGGGAAGAAATCAAGTTCCCTGTGGTCCTTCAGGATCTATCTTAGGCCAGAAAATTGTTCACAAAGATAGTTTTCCATGATTCCCATGTGGTTGTTTGAATGAAAAAGGCAGCCACAAGTTTATAGGGAAGGGCATTTTTGGAAAGGTTAGGACATGTGGCATTGTTGGAGTAGGTGTGATTACAGGAGGAAATGTGTCCCCAAGCGTGGACTTTGAGGTTTCAGGGGCTCAAGCCAGGTCCAGTGGCTCACTCTCTCTTTTTACTGCCTATGGGTCCAGATGTAGAATGCTCAGCTACTTCTCCCACACCATGTCCGCCTTCATTCAGCCATGCTTCCTGCCCTAAGAATAATGGACTAAACTCTGAACCCTGTAAACCTGTCCCAAATAAATGATTTCCTTCATAAAGTTGCTGGGGTCATGGAGTCTCTTCTCGGCAACAGAAACTCTATCAAAGATATCCGGCATCTAGCTAGGATTCTCTGATAACTCTTCCATTCTCTTCATTCAATACAAGGCCTTCCAGGCCCTGGTCATCAGTCCTCCCCCTCGTCAATGAGCACACATCTGAAGAATGCTCAAAGCAAAAGTGACATTGAATGTGGATGATAATAAGTGTGTAAAATCAACACGGGGAAATAGCCTTGTCTATGTTTCACAAGTTACAAGGGTAACAACATAAATAAAAGTGGCTTCGAAACAAAACTTTTGCTGTGTGTAGTGGCATGCATGTGGATTAGCAGGTAGAGGGAGGGGAATCTTAAAGCATGCCAGACCTGCTAAAGCTACACAGTAAAAGACCCTGTCTCAAAAGATTAAGCAAACAAAATACACATAGTATAAAACAAGTTTTGGCAAATTATTATTCTACAAACCTCTAACTTTATTAAATTGTTTTTTGATTGTTAAAATTGCTTAAAATCAATTATTTAATTGATTTCAATTGTCCTGTTCTATATAGCAAGGAAAACATTAAATCATAATTTCTAGAGTTCTGTTAAAGCTTAGGATAGATGCTATATTTTTCATACCAATCAGTATAAAATTGCATACAGGAACTCACCTTCTGGACTTTAAATATCCCATTCACAATTGTTCCACAAGGTTGGGTCTTCAGCATCTTAATCGTGGGAGTTCTTCCAGCTTTTTGCCTAAGGTTATTTGGGACACAGACTTTGAGGTCAGTGTCAGCATCAACCACAATTGAGGAGCTGGTCACCTCCAAGAAGTTAAAGTGCCAAAGATAGTTTGATATTTTAATTGTTCTCCTTGGGGTAAATTTATCTTTAAACGGTGCATATAAAACTTTTACGAAGAAAAATGCGGTTGCTGTGGCCACTGTCGCATGGAATATGTCCTCCTCAGTCTCACACTTGAAAGGATTCGTAGTTTTCAACACCAAGACCGCCAGTGGATCTTTCTGTAAACCTTCTCTGATAGCTTCCTGCTCTGCCACAGTCTGCTGCTTCTGAGGCTGTTACCACAGAGAAGAGATGTTAGTTATGGGTTAACACTGTAACACAAAGGTGGCCTTCATTCAGATAAACCCCAGGAAGCCAGAAAAGGCTGAGTTGAAGGGAAGATGGAGAAGTGAGGAAAAGATTAGAGACTTGGAATTATCTAGATTGAAATGATACAAAATGGGTACTTCATGTTCTGTATTTAGGTGGGGCCGTGGAGCTGACCCTGGAGACAGAATTTCTCAGTCAGATTCCTTTTTTCCTATGTAATTTAGGAAAAGAGTGTGTCAGAAATCTGAATCATTGCTGGGGCTTAATCTGATCCTGTCTTCTTGTGATTCTATTACAGTGTATTTCTCCCTCCAACACTGTTCTGAGCATTTATGGGACTCTCGTGTAAGGGTGAGGAGGTTCACTGATTTGCACAGAGCACTCCACATCCCCAGGAATATCCTGTGCACAATAAAATGCAGATCATTAAGTGCAAGTAAACGAAGAGATCTGGCATGAGAGCCTACAGATGGATTAAAGGGAGAGTGAAAATCAGAATCAGCTCTGCCTTTGTGAATTTACTCTTAGAAGCAATGAATTATATATTAAGGCTTGCAAAAAAAAGTTACATCTTAACGTTTGCAGTTATAAATCACTGAAATCATTTAAATACCAAAAAAGGATTTTTGTCAATTAAAATATTGTAACACAACATATAAAATGTTAAGTATGTCTCATGGGGATAATATAACAAACCATTTTAGTTGATTTCACAGAATACAAAGGACATTCCTTATTGAGGACCCACAATAAACTCACTACAGGGATGTTGCCAATGATAAATGGGCTTTCCTCTCCACACCCAGACTACGGTGATTGTATACTCATCTTGGTTTCCGTTCTTCCAAATTAAGAAAATAAGAGGAATAAGAGACAGCGTGTGTGTGCAACTGCAGGTGCAGGTGTGCGTCTGCTCACGCTCGTGTATGCTTTGGAAACAATACTATTGTCTTACAAGTTATTAACGACCTGCAAACAAAGAGAGACACTTGGGAAAAGAGGCCCAGAAGAGTGGATTTTGAACTGGATTTCTAGGAGACCTTGAAATGTGAGCCCAAGACTATATCTGATGATCAGCATCCCACACTCAATCTGGTCCAAGGCAGGAAAACCCCAAGTTCACTGAGGACTATCACAGAGCTTTTTGTTTCCAGGCCCAGGAATTTTATTTGTGTCTACCAGACTATACAATATGTATTTGCATGTCTTTGATTAAAATGCAACATTTAAACCTGAGTGTTGTTTTCTTGGAAATTCTAGAAATTTCTGAGCCAAGCACAGAGGAAGTGGGTGGGTGCTCTAGACAGAATGGTGGACACACCCTAAACTCATCCCTCTGGAAAATGACATGGCAATGCCTTCATGGGAAATGAAACTGCATGTGCTTGATGGGTTTTCTGGTGGTTCCCAGCATGCTTCTCTGTCAGGACTAAGGGACGAGGACATTCTTCAGTTTTATTCCCTCTGCTACAAAGAGCCACTTCCCCACTAAAAGAGCAGGCACATAGTGAGTATAGGGATTGTCATTTCCATCCACATTGTGACAACCCTGAAGGGCATTTTAGCCCCTAATTCCCTCACTGCACAGACTGAACTCTTGATTGCAATTCCACTGAACTTGAAATTCTCCCCATTCCCTCACTTCCTAAGCCTCCTCACAGGAACGAATGCTGAGAGCTCCCTAAAACATACTCACTGAAAATGGTCCCTGGCAGAGTTTTCTTCCAGTAGAGGCTAAGATAGCAACGTGTTAGTATGTCCAGAGCGTGGCAGAAACTAGAAGCTTCCAGGCTACATAAACTGATGAATTTGACTGACTTTTCTTTTTGTAATGCAGACAGCTCCTTCTTATCCTGGCTTTGCTCCCCTGCTTTGTATGCTCTGAGCCAAAGAGCAGAAGACTTCTTGAGCTATATGAGAAGGAGAGTCATGGAAGGGGTCCTCACAAGGACCAAGGAGCTGCCCTGGCCTACCTTAGCCTGAGGATGGACCTCTGGAGCAGAGTTTTTCTTGGAGGATTCTCCTCTGCTGGTGGCAGAGGCACCAGAACAGCTTTCAGCTTGACTTCTTTTTTCTACCTGCTGCGTTTCTTTCTTCTTTCTATTTGTCATGGATTGACTCTCAACTGAAAAAAATAGAAAGAAGAGTGGAAGGAGAAGGAGGGGAGGAGGGAAAATGAAGGAGGAGGGAGAGGAATCAAAAAGAAGTACATTAACCTAAAATGCATGAGCAAGCATGGCTGAGACATTAGAATATCATGACCTCTCAAGAAAAAAATCAGGAGGGAGAGAGCAGCAGGATGATGGACTAGGAGTTTCCCATCTTCAGTCCCCCAAAAGAATACAATTCATGACTATCCCCAGACAAGGCACATTAGGGAACATCTCTGAATGCAAAGAAGATATCTTCTAGAACCATGGAACCAATAATGCCTTGAGGGTAAGAGAACTGTTTTCATCTTTCACAATGTTATGTCCCTCCCAAGATGGCCCAGTACTGTGCAGAGAGTGCACAACCCCACGCCACCTCTGATGAAGATGGAGGGCAGAGGATGAGAATGTGACCTTCTCAGCATTAAGGGATTCTTTATAGAAGGCTCATTTTCATGAGAAACACTGGGGACACTAGCAAGACTGGAATAACAGGGGTCAATTAGAAATAAACAAAATGGGGCTGCAGAGAAGGCTCAGAGGTAAAGAGCACTGGCCGCTCTCTTCCAGAGGTCTTGAGTTCAATTTCCAACAACCACATCATGACTCACAACCATCTCTGAGATCTGGTGCCCTCTTCTGGCATGCAGGCATATACTGTATACATAAATAAAATTAATTTTTAAAAAACGGAAAGAAATAAACAAAACGAAGTGGGTCTCACTGTGACCAATACATGCACTGCCTTATGGAGTTGCCCAACTAAAGAGAACATCCTACAGTACTTTAAGGGGCATGTACATGCCAGATGAAGCTTTAATCCCACACTCAGGAGGCAGAGGCAGACAGATCTCTGTGAGTTCAAGGCCAGTCTGGTCTACAAGTGCTAGTTACAGGACAGCAGGCTCCAAAGCTACACAGAGAAGGCCTGCCTTGAAAAACAAATAAAAACAAAACAAAACAAAAAAAATGCATACACACGGATTTGTTGGCTTTGAATCACGGCTACTGCCAACTGTTCACTTAGCCTTAGCATTCTGTGTAAGGTTTCTCCAGACTTGCTGAGTGAGGGTGTATACATTTGCACATGTATGGAGTGTGATGACCCTACCCAGCCTCAGAGCAAGGCACCAGGCTTCCGGAAGATTATAGGCAATCTCATGCACACAGATAACCTTAAAAGGAAACATTTGATCCTGCTGGCCACAGCCTATTACGAAAATCGCTCATTCAGCCTGGGGTTCCAACAGAAAAAGGCCTTTTCTTAAATGCAAGTTTGTGCCCCAATATTTCTTCAGCATCTGGTCTCTCCAACCCTAGTGACCAAGGAGAGATGGCACTGGGAAGACTTTTGAGTGCAGCCTGGGGTTCAGTGTGAGCCCAAACTGGAAGAAAAGCCTGAGATTATACATAGCTGTCTAGCATAGTCTCTGGCCCTGCCATTCCAAGTGGCCCAAGAGCAGCACCCACAGCCTTTCCCAGTCTCGGAACCCAATCCATGGCCATGCACAAATAGAGATCCCATGCACAAATAGAGGCCCGATTAGGGCCTGCATCACATAAACTTAATTAAAGATGATTACAGGTGCTAGCCAGCAACTCTACCTGACAGCAACATCCAGTTAGTGACCTTACTGGACCATGCAATGTATCCTTATTTGACCACAGGACACAAGCAGTAGACTGGTCCAGTCAGAGAACCTGAAAAGAAGGTGTCTCCCCGCAGCCGATACCAGCTGACATATGCAAAAGCACAGCTGGGTGAAAGAAAAAGGAGGGTGAAGAGGAGGGGGAGGAAATGAAGAAGTAGAAAAGCAAAGACAAAAAAAATGTTAACGCCTTCTCTTCCTCAAATGTGCAGACACCAACCACGAAAAGAAGAGACCCAAAGTATGGACCATCCAGAGCACCGGTTCATTTGAACCAGCGCAAAAACCATGTAAGCCAGGCAACAGTGTGGTATTGTAGTTAAAGCGATGGAGAAGAAACTAAATATTTGGTAAGTAAGAATATTTTACCTAGAAAACTCTCCCCTCAACAGAGGGAGAAGTGGGTGAACAAGATGCCTCGGGGGTAAGGGCACTTGCCACCAAACCTGGTGACCTGAGCTCAGCCCCAGGTCTCCCTTGCCGGAAGGAGAGACCTGAGTCCTGCACACCAGTTTCCTGAACCTAAAGGAGCTGCTGATAACCATTAAGAATTCAAGGAATATTAGTAAATGGAAAAGCAGATTGTTAAGTGAATGATGTAGTCACTTTTCAGCAACGCCCCCATAAGGCAGCTGTACAATAGATCCTGGGTACCCAGGTCAAGGGTTAGGTTTTATTTTATTCTGAGACGGCAACTTCTTGTCCTGATTTTGATGTGACCATCTATTGAGGTGGTCAGTGTTCAACTACTTCAGGGACTCATGAGAAAAGCATGTCTTAAGAAATTTTTAGATGTGGTTTCTCACAGAATCTGAATCATTTGGGATGTTGATGGATTTGCTTTTGCTAGAAATCAAATGATTTTAGCAGTAGAATGAGCTGTCTAATCACATAATAAGGTACTCTGTCACTATATTTCAGACAAAAGAAGGTAGTTGAGTTTTGGTCAGGGATGTTACAGAGACTCTTTCAGGCATCTCTAACCCAGGGTCTGTGGATCACACGAATTCAGGGTATGTATAACCCAGGTTCTTTGGGTCACATGAGCCCAGAACTTTTCTAACCCATGATCCGTGGATTACATGAGCCAGGGTATATCTATCCCAGGCTCTGTGAATCACATGAGTCCAGGGCATGTCTGACCTATGATCTGTGGGTCACACTAGCCCAGGACAACTCTGAATGCAGCCCAAAACAAAACCATAAACTTAAAACATTACTTGATTTTCTTGAAATATTTTAACTCCATTTTTCTGCTAGAGAGCATGAACTCTGTAAATAGTGTTGGCAGGTGGCTACGTCAAATGGCTAGAAATGCTTACAAGAACTTAGACTGATCTTACAGTGACTAACTCTATGAAATCATTTTTTGTTCTTTTCCTGAAAAACAAGCACATAAAAACATTCAGTCTATACTGACAATATAGAAGAGGAGAAAGGAGAGTCATAGGATCTCAAGGAAATAAACCCATCATTTTATCCCACCACACCAACCACACTGATCTCTTTTAAATGTCATTCATAGTGTTTCTGCACAGACACTTGGCAGAGCGTCACCTTCCCACTATATACTCATAATTTGATGCACACTTTTCATCTGTCTAACTCATGGTTATATTTAAAGAATTTGGCTAGGTTTACTTGGCTTTATCATACTTATGTGTCCTCATAATTTTTTCATCAGCTTTCCTGTTCAAGCCTTTTCTCATAGTCAGAATCCTGTCATTCTTTAATGATATTCTTTAACTTATTCAAAATATCTCCATTTTTCATGATGGACACTTACAAGAGTAAACACTAGGTGGGAACTTCTAGGAAAGAACCCAGATATCGACATTGCCCTAACAGCCACAGGCATCACTGACAAACCTGTGCTGCACTTCAAGTGGGCTTGCAGATGGCGTCACATAGAGCTTTGAAGGTGTATAGGAACTAAAGTGACTGCTAGGTCATCAAGCAGAGCTGTCAGTCAGTCACTCCTCGTTTTCAACTAGTTCTCCCAGCAAGTCATTTAGAGCTAATCAAACTGATAGAATCCCACCAACACTAGACACAGTAAAATGGAGGGGAAAAAAATGAAGGGGGTTTTATGTCATCCTAGCCAAAAAACAAAAGTCAGGGATGTGAATTGATGGAGGAGGTGGTAAAGGATATTATCAAACATATTCAGTTGACTTGCAATATATAAGGAAGTATCCACTTGGAGTATATATGTGTTCTTACTGCCACCCTGAGGTCATATGGAAGAACTACATATTCCTTCTAATTTCAGGCACCCTTTGAAAATAGTGTTTGGCATCAACAAACCTAGGTCTAAGTTCCTCAAAATTACTTAACAACTTATATCAGTATGGAACTTTAACCTTCCTTCGTAAGTTAAACTGGATATAAATATCACTTGAGAAGTCAGGTCACTCATGTGACAAGACAGCCGTCTTCTCCGCAAGCTGTTAAAATTTACAACTTCTGTATTACTTAGTGTCCCCAAACGACTGCTTCTGGAATCTCTTACTTTAGGGAGTCTCTTGATGAGGCATTCCTTTGTCAGCTCTATTAGCTATTTAAATACAAAGGATTCACCAGTTATTCTTAGGGAGCAATGGGGACAAAATGCGTATAATTGAAGGAGACTGGGTGGCGGTTTATCGAATACAAACACGTCCTTTGTATCCTGGAAATTCATAGTGGCATCTATTCTGGAAATGTGTAAAGGGTAGAAACTCCATGAACTCAAAGCACATGGGCTTCCTAAAGAAAGACTGACTGGGACTTTGCAGGCTGGCTCAGTATGGAAGTGAATAGTCTATGGCCATGTGAGGCGATTCTCTGGCTTGTCTGTTCGAGGCTGTGCTGTGCTGATGTTCTTGTCAGGCCCTCAGTGAAGTATAAAAGCCTTATGTACCATGTAATGGGACCTTGAACACTAACACTGCCATCCCATGTGCACAGTTTCTGCAAGTAGATTGGAGACAATGGATGGCAGCTCTAAGTGCTGGCAACAAAAATGGCTGAGGAATTTGCAACACCATTTTTAGTGCCTCTCAGGCAAGGAGGCGTAGGGACTGATAGTAGGTGATTGAGCAAATTAATACAACACTCTGGGGGCTTTATCGCTCTTGTGTCATTAAGGGAGAGGCATTCCACATACCTTTTTTCTTTTGCTCCTGAAGACATTTTGCAGCGTGCATGTAATTTAACTTCTGGAAAAGATGAATGGTCTTTGTCACCGCCAACGCTGGGCCTGCGCTCTGAATCAGCAGGTCCGCTAACTCGGTCCTGTTTGTAGTCTCTTCCAGTTGGCTCCTAGAGATCTTAAACTCATCCATGACAAAGTACTTGAACCGCTGCAGTTCCTTCTTGGTGATTTCCTCCAGGCCGGTCAACAGGAGTATCTCTCGGTATTCATACTCCATCTCACAGGCACAAGATCAGCCTGAAACAAAACCTCAGCCACAGGATCGCGGCGCGCCAAGTAAATCTACATTCAAGATAAACAAGGTGAATGAGTGGTCAAGAGAAAGTATCCAAGATGGTCCCCGTGCCGCAAGGGAGAACTGGGTGAGATATGAAAAGCAAATCCCTATGCAAGAAGGTCACTCGTGTTGGGAAAGGAAATGACACCTTCACAGGGCACTGCTGCCGCAGGACTTCTTGGAATCCGGTTCAGTGTTCCTGTCCCCTCTCAGGCACATTTGTTGAGGCGTGTGACATGTGACACAGTGTACATACTTCGGGCATGCAATTTGAAATTTTGACATACATTAACATGAAATACAATTCACCAGTTAGTTCACTAGTAGACCACATCTTGATGTTCTGTCTTTTCAAAATTCAAGATCAAATTTTTTTTTCTCCCGTGTTCTTCTCTAGAGATTCTAAATGTCATTTATTAACTTCTGTAGCTATGTCCTACTTTGAATTTTTTTGTATGTGGTATGAAATGTTGCGAGGACGCTCTTGTTCCCATGGCACAAATTTTCCCATGATTGCATCAGAAAGACCATGTCTTCTTCATTTACTGTTATCAAGAATCACCTTCCCTAATATGAGTTGGTCTAATTAAGGACTCTCTCCCCTGTACAGTTTGTCTCTCTGTTAATTTAGGATGCATGTGATACTTTGAATGGGAACATTCAATAAAATGAAGCTGTCAACCTTGTCAATTCATATTCAAACTACAAGTAAAACCTCAAAGAGAACTTCTAAGGATGAATCTAAAATCTACATGAAAAGGTCAGGACAATTACACTCAAAATAATTAAAATAGTCACCAAGAAACACTATGCTTACTACCTATAAATTCTTCCATAAAAAAGTAATAATTAAGACCTAGTTGGGGACAAGCCTAAACTAAAGGTCAAGCTTTCATAATTAAGAAGTCTCTGTGTTGTTAGTTCGGGGCTGGAGATGCAAAGATAGTCTGACAAGAAAGCTTGATACAGTGTACCATATTTACAAAGAGACATGGAGTGGGACCAATGTATATAAATCTTAAAAAATAGCCAGCAATGAGAAGGTTTCAGAAAAAAATATGTGGGGAGTTGATGGGGAACTTCAGCCAATCACATTCTGCTTAGGGTGTGTCCCCCTGGGGTCACACAAAACAAATAGAAAATCGAGGATCGAGGTGCACTTGCCACTCTCTCTTAGGCCCCCTGCGTTCCCGGATCGCTGGAACCCTGGTTTTGTAAGTTTTCCTTTCTTCTGTTTATTAAAACTAAATCTTTTATATTAAGCTAGTCTGGTTAATTTTTAACTACCGATCGACCACGCCCTTCAGGGAGTGATACCATTTGCCCCTCATCTCATATCACAGACAAAAGACAAACTTATTTGGATTAAATACCTAAATAGGAATAGTAATACAGTTGAGAAAAACTGTTTTTGTTGACTTTATGTTGAGGAAAAAGAAAGTTTACTAAACAATGTACACAAAGGACAAATAAGAGAGACAAGGCTGTATTAAATTTCATAGAATTCATATTCTAAATTGCTTTTTTAAATTCTTCTCTCATATATTATATCCTGACTGCAGTTTCCCCTCCCACCTCTCCCCCAAGTCTCTCCCAGCTGAATTTCCTCATAAGAAATACAAACAAAGAAAGCATTTTTTTTAAAAAAAAAAAAAAGCCCCAAACCGGGAGATACTGCCTTAAGTGTCTATAATTAATAAATGTTCTGTTGTCAGAAAATGTAAAAAAACACATATCTGCAAGAAAATTATCTACGGCCTAGGTGAAAAGCGGTCAAAACATATGAATAAGCAATGTGCTCTAATAGCTGATGAAGATGTATAGGAATATGCTTGACATTACTAATTAGTTACTTGGGAGAAAACCAGGTAGAAGAAATATGCCCAAGAAAGGGTGTCAAGAGAAGAAAACAACTGACCAAAGACGTGAGGATCCCCACCAGTGCAGCAATGGCCCTGAGCTCTAAGGAGTGCAGCTTATGTGGCCTTGCTGTCATTGTCCTGGTAAAGACAGGGCAGGTACAGAAGGGATGGAATAGCTCTGCTCACATAGGTTGAGTTCATACATAATGCCCAAAACTACCATCAGTCCTCTGTGCAACAGAGGCACAGATGCACCCGAAACAGGCACAGTGATAACTCTGTACCAGTGTGCCCAGTTCTTTTGATAATATCTGGGAAGGAAATCTCCATGGCCTTAGTATATGGAGCATGCTAATCATGTCGGCATGCTTCCTGCGTGAAACCTTCATCTTCCTAGTCCCCTCTTCCATAAAACCATAATCGCATTTAATCACATTTTATATGAAAAATTAAGACACCAATTTCTCTGAAGGTTGGTTCTCTTATTTGCATACAATTTGCATTTTGTTGCATGATACGTCCACTCGAAAGGTTTTAAAGTATTTGTTTGGGACCAAGATGAAACTCAGTAGTAGAGCACCCACAAGCAAACAACCAGCGAGAGTGGTATTAGAGAGCGGGTAATACGCAAAGGAAATGCGTTCAACTCTGACTAGCAACCTCGTGGCCAGCAGCAGTCCCAGCTGCAATCTGACAGTGCCGTGCCGTGCACAACGTGTACTCAAGGCACTTTCACAGGGAGCCTAGAAGACGGGAAGAAATGCAAATGCATGGGCAGGACTGACTTATCTCTAGATTGGGAGGATTCTTGCCACCTCACAGAAGTGGCCGGTGGCCTACCTGGAAACTATCAGCTGCTCAGCAACTGGAGGTTAAATTTGGTATTCAAGGTAGAATGACTTGCCTGAGGCCACACAGCTTATAAAGGATGCATAGACAGGCTGGCCTCCAGTCTTCCAAACCCAAGCCCTCTGCCCCTTCTTTTGCTAACTGCCTTCATATTATTCTGAATGTGCAATAACACCTTTAAATTAAAGAAAGTATATATATATATATATATATACGTTATATGATTTGAAGACACCTATTTTTGAAGACAACTATTCTTTAAATACCTGTATCTAACTCTCTGGTACTTTTAATAATAATGTAATAATTTCCATGCTTTCCCTTGTTGAAACCATTTATCTCTCTTCATAGGATGTCTACAAAGTTGAAATCCATCCTCTATAGATGTTCAACCATCCCTGGGTGCACTTTATAAAACAGGACCTGACCCTGTTCCTCTCTACTGCCACACACTGTTTCCTTCTCCTCTCTGTTTGTCTACTTAACAATTCGGTATTCTTTGTTTGTTTGTGTTTTAGTTTACATTCTGTGCTGGAATAAAAGTGGTCGGTGGGCAAGGACTCTGTTGTTCATTTCTGCAGTCTTGGCTCCTAAAACAGCATCGGGGATCCGGCAAGTTTTCACTGAACATGTGTTGAGTGAGCAGATGAGGCTTCTCCAAATAAAACCACAAATCTAGGTATCTCCATGCCCTGGGCTGTACTTCGGGGTTCACAGGGTTTGACTAAGAAGCAAATTAAAAGATAGCAGTACAAGGTGGCAGCTAAATAAGGACCCTAGCAACTATCTTCCACAGGCTCACAAGCTTCGATCAGCTGGTCACAGTCCAAATTACCATTGTAATACCTAAAGAAGCCAACCGAGAGACCAATGTGTCTGGATTCCATCTGATAATAAGAAAAGACATGTTGAAAAGACAGGAAGGAAAGATTTGTCCACGCTGAGACTCATTCAAGTCCATGAAGTGTGGAGCCCAGAAGGACAAGGAACTAAGTCCAGGCCTTAGACTGTAAACTCAGTTCCAGGCCATCACTAAGAAGCACAATGCCTGCAATAATTCTTTAACCTCTGCCCAGGCTAGACTGAGCAACCAGAACTGTGTTCGCTAGACCATTGATTTCCTTTGCCTCTCCTCCTTGGATCTGGGTGGGGCAGAAGGATGAGTGGAGAGGAATCTACCCAAAGGCAACAGGGCACAAAAGCTTGCCCCGAATTCTGCTTCCTGTAGTGGAAACTAGTGGCAATCAGAAAGTAAAGGCCTTTAGAGGCAAGCTACAGCTCACAGACGAAGCCTCCCAACTGGTACTAGCATTAAACAGCTGCCGCCATGCCAGCGGGGCAGACTCACGTTCGGCTAGATTGCTGCCAGCCTTGAAGCGGGTAAAGGACACAACCCTACTCAGATGACGACAAAGCTTTCTCTGTCTGTAAGACTCAGGTGTGACCCAGTTTAGAGGTACCCCAGGTGGACCCTAGGCTTGGGCATCACCTGTCTTCAAGTCAGTCTTACCAGACAGATCATCAAGACGTGGCTATCACCAAACAGAGACTTGTGTCCCACTGGGAGAGAGTCTTATTTTGGCTTGTGCTTCTACCTGTGTGGCATAGACCTGGGTGCGCTCAGAATGGGTGAATCCACCAGGAAAAGGGCAGAGAGAGAGAGAAACAAGCAAAGCTAACTCTTCGGACACTGCCAGTCAGAGCTCTAGCTGCCCTTTCAGGAAGTGGCTTGTGAGGGAGGCAGCAAACGACAACACACTTGTGTTTCGGAAGCTAAGAAAACATCTTTCTTAAAGGAAACAACGAGCCAACCGTGCCTCTTTTGATTGCTCATTTTGTTGTAATGCTAGGCAAGGTGAGGACTACAGATCTGCCTTGGAAATAGTCATTCGAGGTTAGTGGTGATAGGTAGAAGGGCAGGGATGGGAGGATGGAAGGCAAACCCAACTCTTGCTGTAAAAGGGCCAAGAAAGTGTGATAGAAGACTAGAGCAGGGCCGGAAATGGAGAAAGTAATTTTTACAAGCTTACTTGCTCACTTGCTTTTCTGTTATGAGAGAAATTAGACTGGTTTTATGCTAATGAGAAGGATCTAGAAGGGGCTGGCAAACTGTGGTATTAGAAGAACAAAGGGGAAACTGCTCATGTGAGTGAGCCTTAGGCTGATTCCTAAGGTGCAGCAGACCTTCTGAAACAAAGGAAACCCACTCTCCATTTCTTGAGCCTGACATCAGCTGTGCAGGACAGACGCCCACCTTTCTCGTGCCAAGAGTTCTGAACTGTTCAAGGATTTCCAACTGTGTTCATTTGCCGCCTACAGCTGACAGCCATATAGCTAGACAGACACAGACTCAAATCCTGGCTCGGCCATTTACTAGCTGTGTGACATCTGGTAAATTACAGCCTACTAAAGTGTCTATATCCTCCAGTGTAAAATGGGGAAAGGCAATCATAACTTTTACGGGACGACTGTTACAATCCCATGCAGCTAAATCAAGAACTTCTAAAAGTTACTACATATCAGTGATCTCTCAAAGTCAGCTATGAATATAAAAAGTGAAAGAGAAGATTCAGAGGAGTGATGTAAGGAATAGCACTTTAACCTGGGATGAGAGGCAATGGCTTGTGTTAGACACTGGAAAAAGAAGATGGACGGGTGTTCTTCTAAAACCGTGTTTTGCAAAGACAGAGGAAGAAAATTTCAGAGCTTGCCAGCTAAAATGAAATCACTGGCTGATTGTCTGGGCTAACTCAGGGTTCGGGCAGGCATGGCAAGGCTTGCACTGTGGGAAGAAAGGCATTTAATACTTAGAGACTCCCAGTGCCCTGTGAGGGTTTAAGTCACTAAGCTACTGGGCTACTGCCTCCGAAGCTACCTCGGAGATCCTGCGAGAGGAACTGCAGAAAACGTCAGTCTCCTAAAAAGGCTGGCAGGAAATCGTTAAGACAGATTGACGCTCAAGAGACATGAGTCCAACTAAATGACTCCAGGGGATGAAGCTGAAGTCACAGTAAAGGAAATGTCTGCTTTGGAAGCTGATGTCATCTGCTCAGGTTCAAATCCTCAGGGGAAATGCAGCATGGCTGATCCTCTCTGTCTTCCTTTCCTGTGGAGAAACCAGAAAATCACCCTGATCCAACTCTCTGCTTCACTTCTGATCTCTGGGAGCCCAACAAGCATGCACTGGCTTCCATCTGGCATGTAAAGCAATATTTCAATATTCTGGTAAGCACCACCCTTTGTTCCAAGGCACCACAAAGACTTTCCCGTCCCCAGGTTCATGACTGGCCGGATCCAGCTAAATCAGCAGAGATAATCTTCCTTTCATAGCCCAGAAAATAATTCTATTAGACACTTCCTATTGTTTCACCCTAAAGTCACAGTGGCTCAAAGACAGAAATGACCAAGAGATTAAAAAAATGATAGCAGAAGACTAGCTGATTTTGTGCTGCAAACAAACTTAATGTACCGCTTGATGTCTGATCAGAAACAGACATTCCCACAGTGCACAGAGGGTAAAGGCAAGGATGAGAACATCAGGTCACTCTGGTGTACACAAAAAGTTTGACAGCACGTCTATGCGATATGAGAACACATAGCCCAAAATCAAAACCCAACTAAAATGAAACCAAAAATAAAAATTAAAAAAAATGCTGATCTCAGAGGGCAAGCAAAAATGCACATAAAATCCCCCATCATTACTCAGACTCCTGCCCCAAGTTTGAAGCTGGTGATGTATCCCCAAGTTTGAAGCTGGTGATGTATCTCATTTCTAGTTCAGTGCATCAACAATGAGGTAAATGCTCACAGTGATGGATCAGATGTGAGAGCATAGAAGTAAATTGGAAGGTTCTAGGTGTTGAGTAGCTACTAGAAGTCATGGTAGTGAAGGTGCAATTTAAAGTATACAGTGACAAGTTGTGAGGACAGTTCTAACAGAAGCATGCTCCAGAGGCCATGAGAGCAGAACACCTACCCATGCCCTGCGATTACATAATCAGCCAGGCGATGTAGGACCCCTTTAATTTATCCTTGCAGGAATCACTCCCATACATCCACAAGGGACCCTCAAACAGGACCTTATCAACAAGCTATCATTGTGCAGCCATTCTGAGCCCTTCCCTACATTTCTTTACCCCGCAGGTAAAGTAATCATCTGAAACACTGTTCATTTTCCTTCTGTTTGTTTTGTCCGATTCTGGCTTCTGTTTGTTATATTATATTATATTATATTATATTATCCCTTAGAAGCCTGTTTGTTTTCTAAAGAAAGGGAGTAGATCTACATGGGAGAGGAGGTGGGAAGGAACTGGAAGGAGCAGAAGGAGGGGAAATGGTAGTCAAGATAGATTAAGTGAAAAAAAAAATCTAGTTTTACTAAAAGGGGGGAAAATAAGCACCTTTTAATCAATCATTGTTTTACTTTTTCTTCTTTGTTAAAGATTATTCAATTAACCATGTTTATTTGGGTCTACTTTTAGACTTTGTACTCTGACCCATTGATTTTATATATATATATATATATATATATATATATATATATATATATATATATTCTTTAGATGTGGGGGGACTCTATGTGTTTATGTGTACCTCATGTGTGCAGGAAACTGTGGAGTCTAAAAGAGGGAATAGAATATCCTGGAACTGGAGTTACAAGTGGATATGAGCTGTTCTGTGTGGGTGCTGGGAACCTGACCTGGGACTCTGTGAGAGCAGTGAGCACTCTTAGCTCTCTCCAGACTCCCATTTGTATATTATGTCCCTGCTGCCACACTGTCTTGCAGTCCACAGTCCAGCTGTCAGTCTCAAAGCTAGGCAGCATCTGTCTTCCAAACGTCTTATCCTTCACGGCATGAACTTTTTTAGGTTTTCAACTTTTCCAAAAGAATTTAAAATCAATTTTTGAGTATCCCTGAAGTCATTCATTGGAATTTTTACTGCATCTGATTTATAGATCAAGTTGGGAAGTGACTTGTGAAAAATACTAAATATTCCTCTCCATGAATATGAGATATGTCTCCATTCTTCAACTTATTTTCTCCATCTTTATATGTACATTGTACATATTTAGTTATATTTATCCCTAGGTACACCATTTCTCAGGAGATAAAATTCAGTTTTCACTTTCAACTTAGACTTGCTTATCACTATACATAAAAAAGAAAATGACTTTTGTTGTTTGGTTTGCTTTTTTTAAAAAAAAAATCTCTCTTGGGCTAGAGAGATGGCTCAAAAGTCAAGAGTACTGGTTGCTCTTCCAGACGACCTGGGTTCAGTTCCAGTGGATGTGTGAGCATCCACATGACAGCTCACAACTATCTGTAACTCCAGTTTCAGGGGATCTGACACCCTCACGCCAATGTGTGTAAAATAAAATTAAATAAATTATTTAAAAATCTCATCAAGGCTTTCAAATTATTGGACACAAATTTACTCATTAGGCTTTGAATACCCATGGGATCTGTGGCGATCCTTGCCTGTCATTCTTCACATTAGTTATTTGTCTTTTTTCTGTTCACTGGGAGTCTTGCTTGTTTGTTCACTAAGTAAATATAAAATACTAAGTGTCCATGGATTTAACCAGAAATTGTTAAACGGCTGCACTCGTATATTGGAATCATCTGTGCTTGTGAAATGTGGAAAACTCTCAAAATAGAAAGAGGGGGGGGGCATGAGAAAGCGTCATTTTCAGAACCTGAAGATAGATAACAGCATAGTCAAGCTGGGAGAGAAAGCCTGTATTGTCAATAGGAAAGGCTGGACATGGCCAGGCACACTGGCACACGCACACCTAACACTCCAGCACTTAAGAAGCAGAGGTGAGACAATTGCCTCAACTTGGTCTGCATATCAAGTTGTATTCCAGTCAGGGCTTCAAAGAGAGATCCTATCTCGAAACAGAAAAACCAAAACCAAAAGCCGAAAACAGCTGCTGCTAGTGAGTGGAATTTGAAGTAGGAATATATTAGGCAGAGTTTTCTTTTCCCCAGTGTGAGAAAACTAAACTGAGGACATTGTGCATGCTAGGACAGCACTCTACCACTGAGCAACATCCCCATCCCCAAAGGAGCTACTCTTGCCATGCTTACAGTACTATTTGATAAAAATAATGATTAAATCTAAAACATAAAGGGCTCTGTTAATTTTCATTAACGTACTTTACTATTCCATTACCTCAAAATTCATAAACAATTACATTAATACCAATTATGATCCACAATAAAATAAATAATACTTTAGAAATAGAATTAATTACATCCATATAAATGACTTTATAAAAGATTAATTAGGGGGAAAAGGCACTTGGACTCACCTTGTTCAGAGTCAATTTTTAAAAAGTTTTTGAGAAACAATTTTCACTCTGTGTCCCACATTTCCCTTGAACTGGTGGACTGGTGGTTCACCTGGCTCACACCTTCAGGTGCTTGAATTAAAGGCATATACTACAATGTACCACAGTGCCTGGCTCAGGGTCAGATTCTCAGTAAGTAGGAATTCTGTAAAGTGGAAGGCTACTCGAGTGGAATGGACGTTACCTCATAATATTTTATATGTGCATGTTTTGTGCAACTTACATATAACATATATTACATGCACACGGGTGGGTGCATAATTGCTTCAGACACAAAGGTGAACTATCACTCGCCCACTGAGAGCTCAGCTAAGCTGCTGGAACTGGAATAAAATGAAGACATGGAGTTACTTGACCAGGAATCCTCGACTAGCTTGTGTTTTGGTCTATTGTCTTCTGCTAAATTTTTCTTTTCCCTTCCCTTCTTATGCCTTGCCTTTTTGAAATATGTGGGAATAACTCCATACTCAATATTAAAAAAATGACTTTTAGGAATGCAGACAGCTGAGGCAAACCCGGAAAGCGTAGGTCCTAAAACCCCCAACTCTGCCTGTGCCTATTTCTTGCTCATCTCATCCTTCCCTGAACCTGTCACACAGCTCAAAATACAGCTAAATTTTCTTCCACACAAGAATCAATAACCTCAAAGTGTTCAAGAATCTTACTGTAAACAACAAAATTGACTCCAGGTAGTTTAATAAAATCTGTTTTCTTGAAGATAATAACCCCTCAGAGATCTCTAAAGGCTGAAGGAACAAAGTCTGGTGTCAACTCACAGGAAAGGGGCCCCCGCCTCTTTCCTACCCACACCTCAAACCACACAGTAAACCTGTTTCGAAGGAGGACGCACTCTGCTGCTGACACCTGCAGAATGTCAAGATCTGGCTCCCACGGCAACCACTACAACTTCAGTGTTGATGCTACCTCTGTGCCAGCAATCCTACTGCAATTTCAGTTGGTACCTAAGATCTAGACACCCCTAAAGCAGCCATATTGGCAAGGTGGATTCCCTGCATGGTACTGGTTCTTATGCCAAAGATTTCAGACTCAAACTTCACCTGGAAAGCACCCATTAGGGCAAGCCCTGGTCTGCTGCAGCCATCTGCACTGCGAAGCAAGCTGAAAATTGGGATTACTTCTAGGTTGCGGGGTTGGGCTAATGCATGTGAAGCATTTGTAAGATGCTGGAAAGCCCCAAATGTGACATGTGACCAGTTTTTAAAAACTGTTCAAAAAAGATAGAGATTTAAAAGCTAAAACCCAAGATGCTGGGTCAGGAAAGCCTAAGAACAATGGCATCATTACAAACACAGGAAGAGGACGAAAAGGTTGTAGCTCGTACCAGGAAATAAGAATGTGGAATGTGTGCAAGAAGTGTTGAATTTGAGGTACTCATGAGATATGCAAATAGAGAGGTTTAATTGAATATATGAGCCTGGAGCTTAGATGAAAGGTCAGAACTCTGGGTAATGCAGACAGCATCAGAATACCGATGGCAACCGATACTAAAAGATAATGTGGCTGTGAGGAGTGGAGAGGGATGGAAGCATCCCGTAGAGACTCACGGAGCTCAGGCAGCATGACACTGGGCAGAAGGAGAGTGAGAAAGGGAGGCTGACAAAGAAAGGTCAGGGCACCAGAGAAAGAAGCAGACACTGGGTCCCAGAAGGCAGGGTGCAAGGGGTTTGGAGATCAATAGTGTAGTATACGTTTGAAACTTGCTAAGAGAATAGATCTCAAATGTTCTCACC